TTTTAGTTCATTACTTTTGTACATGTTCTCACCTTCCTCTGATAAAAATCCATGCCATTCCTTATTTTTTTGATCGGGATCATTTGCAGTCCAATACGGGGATCATTTCCGGTCCGGGATCATTTGCGGTTCAATTTGGGGATCATTTGCGGTCCGGGATCATTTGCGGNCCATGCCATTCCTTATTTTTTTGATCGGGATCATTTGCAGTCCAATACGGGGATCATTTCCGGTCCGGGATCATTTGCGGTTCAATTTGGGGATCATTTGCGGTCCGGGATCATTTGCGGACCCGTACAGACCTCTCCATCTCAAATATTAGTATGGACAATCGAATGATGACGAGTGAAATTAGGAAATAATTTCAAGCGCGTTTTGTTAAAATTCTTATAATTTCCCGAGCCTTTAGGCGAGTCACATTATTAGAATTTGGACAAAACTCAAGTGAAATTATTTCTTAATTTTACGAATATACCATTAGGTTACCTTATAATATCATAGGTGACAAATTACGCTTACAATCGTGGGCTTTTGACTTGTTTATTGTATCGAGAAGTTTCGCGCCAAACGTTGCCAAACGTTTTCACTGTCACGCAATATAAAAATAAATCGACAACCATTTAGTGGATAAAGTCAAGTAATTGTGATCTTATAGGAAATAGATGGAGAAGACACTTCTCCGAGTTTTAGGTTTGTGCGTTTTCCCAGACTGCAGATATTTGTCGAAATGTTTCGTAGAAATTTACAGAGCCCAGTATGGAAACGTCATGTTGGTGCACCTCTGTGGTGCACTAATATGGCGGCCGGAAAATAGTGTAAACATCTGGAACTTACTTTGGCTATCTAGGCGACTGATTATCTGTACGGAACAAACAAACATTTACTTAACTGCTTTTCCTAATGACCTAACTTCTAAAACAGCTGAAAATCATGAGATAGGTATATATTTTTCGGCAAATGCGCTTGTAGCTTTGTGTCACGCACCACCGTAACTCTGAAATTCAAAATACGCTGGTTTTCAAACGAAGCACATTATTGAGCTGTAACATTGTAATAAGATATAAATTTACCCCCTCTTATGCCTGATGGGGATAAGAACTTTGGTGGCTCTTTAGTTTTCAGGTTTGGAAAATGATGACGTCGCATGAAAACGATCTATAAACGGCTAAAATTGTAATGGAATCGTCTAATGTCACGCATTATAATCCATCGAATATTTTCGCTCGAGCGCGATTGGTCTAAACGCGTCACGTGACCGGACATTCCCCAGCTGAAACTGGGGAATATCCGAGAATATTCCCCAATTTTCGAAAATATTTGAAGGATAATAAACACAATAGCCTCCATTTGACTTTGAAAATATGCTCGAATATTTGTCCTTGGACATTATCTGTTCTTCGAAGGTCCGTTTTTGTCGAGCTTCGCTCTCGGAAAACTGTTCGCTTTTCGGAACAGATAATGTCCGCGGACGAATATCCGAGCATATTTTCAAAGTCAAATGGAGGCTATTGTTTATTTAATCGTATTCAACGTCTTGGCCGCCTGAAATCTACAAAACACAAATTCGACATTTAAATCCGAGCAAGCTTGAGCGATGGGTGTAGGTCATTGTCGCAGCTGTCGAGAACGTGTAACATCCCCGGGCAGATCGGATGCAAACCATTAGCAGTCTCTCGACTTAATCAAAGAGGTGAGATGTCTGAAATCTTTAGTTTGTTTTCCCTGATTTCGTGGTATTATAGTTTCTTTTACCGTGGATGATACTCATTTTCAAAGCCAAAATAATAAGGAAATCCAGTGAGAGGGAAGTTTTGTTTTACGCTGTCGTTCTTCGGCTGTAAATGGTAGCAATATAAGAACACATTCCAAGATTGAGGTTAAAGCTAAAGAACAGTCCAATCACAGTTTTAAAATAACTAACGGTATTTTTACACGACGCTTGACTTTACCTAATTGTCAATGATGTGGAAAAATAAATCCTGGGCCTTTCAGTTGCTAAATGATACATGTTGCTCTTTTAATATTTTTTCTTTCCCTTTTTTTTTTTTTTTTTTTTTTTCATTCACAAAATATCCATGGTAATTTTTTGGAAACGAAACAGCCATACTGTTAGAGTCTTAATAAATAATATAGAGTAAAGGATGCCATATCTTGAAAAATGTGTAGTCACATATTTTGAAGCGTCAGGTTTTGGAGTTAATTATGTATCACATTCAGGAGTAGATACACTAGTCTTGTTGTCTGCAATTTACTGATGTGGTTGAGGTATATGTAACAGTAGGGTTATTATTTTGGTAATAATAATGTTATACGAGCGTGGGACAAAGAAAACTTCTGAGTCCCCGACAGGAATCGAACCCATGACCTCCCGAACACCGGGNATATCCATGGTAATTTTTTGGAAACGAAACAGCCATACTGTTAGAGTCTTAATAAATAATATAGAGTAAAGGATGCCATATCTTGAAAAATGTGTAGTCACATATTTTGAAGCGTCAGGTATTGGAGTTAATTATGTATCACATTCAGGAGTAGATACACTAGTCTTGTTGACTGCAATTTACTGATGTGGTTGAGGTATATGTAACAGTAGGGTTATTATTTTGGTAATAATAATGTCATAGTTATAAAAGAATTCGTTGTAAATTATGATCATAATTATTATGATTTTAATTCATACCCTCTTTTATTCTGTTTGTAGGACACAGAAATGGTTCAACGTATTGACCTTACTTCACATATTCAGCGTCACATACAAGTACAGTTTGGCTATATTCAGACAAAATATTTTCACAAGACAGAATGTAACGACCACGGTGCTGGGAATCATCATAATTTCCAGATTTGTACCATCTGAGTCAACAGTAGCATATACCAAACATGTACTGACAGAACAAAAAAATCTTCAATCCATGGTCATTGCAGTCATCCTGCCCTTTACCAAGACACTGCCTGATCTTGTGCATAAGATCAATATGATAACAACTGTTGTCTTATTGGTTATATTGCACGAGAAACCATATGGTCAATGTAAATAAGTATCAGCTGCATTTATAATTAAAACAATATGTAATCCAGATATATTTGTGATATCACAAGACCGTACAGTTTAGCAGCCTTGGCTGTTTAGCATAGTGTACTAGAATATTGCATTTAAGCGCTAGTTGTACAAATCGAATTAATCCACCCAATTAATTATCCAAAACTGGAGAAATACATTTACGAGGATGTACATTTAAAGTATCGACGTAGTCATCTAAGGAACTCAACTGAGATGTTTCCCTGTGAAATGACATTGACATAACCAAGAAATGTAAAGTGTATATTTTGTTCTGGTCACATGACTTCCACATATGGATGTGACCATAAAATGGCGAATGGGTCTGCAATGCAGTCAATAAGCATGTCTAAATGGCTCATAATTGGATTTCGGGAAAAGGAAAAAAATTCTTTTGGTGCCATTCTAGAATTTTCACTTCACTGCATGGATCACAGGCGAAAGGAACAGCACCATAACAGAAAACATTTCAATTACTTCCACCACTCCCTTGTTCTTACACCCATTTCCTCACCCCACTCTTGCCAATTTTTCTCACGCAACATACAATCTGTATCAATTTTAGTTACTTTTATTTACCTTATACATCTGTCAATTTGTTTTGCAATGTCCATGATAGTCAAGACATTGTTAATTAAAAGTCATCGCTTCTGCATGTATTGCGTGCCGTTTATTCGCAAAGGGTAGCTAGTGCGGAAACTCGTAGGACTTCTCGGTTCAATAAAACGCTTGGTTGCCCAAGGGCTGTTAGCTTCTTCCAGACGTTTAGTTAGTTGTATAGTTGGGGTGCAGCGAGAAAAATGGCGCATGAAAAATATAGGTGAGAAACGCGACTCTGTTTTCGCTCTGCAGTTTTTTCGCGCTGCGCAGCGACTAACTGAAGACCTGGAGAAGGCTAAAGTGCTGTCAAGCGTTCAATCGCCGAGAGAGAGGACGGCTTCATTTGTAAGTAATTTGCTATTTATTGTACTAGTCAAGACCACGTCTCCTATAACT